AAGTGGGAGAATCACTTAAACCTGGGAGATGGAGGTTGTAGTGAGCCAAGATCCTGCTACTGCACTTGAGCCTGGGTGACAGAGCAAGACTTCATCTCACAAAGAAAGAAAAAAGAAAATACTATCTATGGTCAATGTTTTTGGCCAATATTGTTTGATGCTTTGAGTAATATGGCAGATTACATATTAATAACCAGGACCTTAAGAGTGCTGGTAGCTTAATTGCTACTCAGAACGTATGTTTCTTTTTTCCCCTAATAGTATGATAAATAAATATTTCTGATCATGGTAGATTGCATAGAAGGGCATGAAGCAATTTGAAGGGTGCATCAAAAACAGAAAAATAAGAATAGGTGTACCCTTCAGCTTCATTCCTTAAATTTTTATGCCTTTGGTAATTGTATAAACAAACTCAAAGCACTGTGAATTTGAAGGAGTTTGTGCTTTACTGGGTATGCTACAAAAGCAGTTCAGCTCCAAACTGTCATGAAAATATTTTTCTAAAATAGTTAATCTGTGGATTGACTATTGAGTGTGGTGCTCAAAACAAAGATGGCCTAGGCACTGACTCCTTACAATCTCCTGGCAAGGAAGGAAGGAAGGACAAGGGAGGGAGGGAGGGAAAGAAGGAAGGGAGGAAGGAAGGAAGGAGGGAAGAAAGAAAGGAAGGAAGGAGGGAGGGAGGGAAGGAAGGAAGGAAAGAAGGAAGGATGGAAGGAGAGAGGAAGAAAGAAAGAAGAAAAGAAAGGAACTGGGATAAACAATGGAAGAAAGGAAGGAACCTTTTTGAGCTTCTCTTGGCCAGGCGGTATCAACTGCTTACATTGTTAGGAAAGCCAGCAAGCAGCAGAGTGTTATACTCCATTTTTTAAAACTTTATTTATTTATTTATTTTAAGCGAGGAAACTCAGAATTCTTAACAGCCAACAATTCTTTTGTGGCTCCTCAGTTATGCGTATCTTCTAAATACAAGTGTGAGGCTATTTTTGTTGTTGTTTTGTTTGTTTAAGCTCCATGTCTTTATACAGAGACGGTTACAGTATTTTACAAACATTTTTATATTCTGAATAAAAATTTATAATTCCATCGTGTACCATAACTGAGTTAATTAAAGGGTAAGGCGATCCTTTTGTAGAACTGTTTGTCATACAGGTAAATATCAAATCCATGATGCTTACACAAAATTAAGAGCCCTAGTCAAAGCAGTGGGTCTAGAAGACTATATTAGATTAAAATGGCCAAAGAAACTTCATTTATAGCCCATTTTTATTTGGCTACTCTTTCAAATTTGGGAAATTAGAAAGTGATCTACCGAAGGATCTTGTCCCCTCTTAAATATTATTAAAACAGGAAATTTAATAAAGCATTGGAAGTGCAAGGAAGTCAGATAGGATTACAAGATGGCAAGCCACTTTGCAAAATGTCTGTTAGAGAAAGATTACAGTGTTGTCAGGTTTTCAACACAGAATCAAAGTACCTTTGACAATAAGTATAACACTTGGTCACTCTCCTTTTTTAAAATTTTAAATAAAAGTTACTATTATGTAGCTGCAGTCTCTAATGGAAAAGAATGTATTTGTTCTCCCCTAAGATCCAAGTTTAAGTATTCCTATTGCAAAACTTGATTCTAACACAAACTTAAGAATTGCTGGGATTTTAAATATCTAAGGAATTCACATCTTAAGCCCTACGCTCTAATCTTGCTTCAAAGCAACAAACCTAATTGTTTGAGGTACTTTCATTTTTGCAGAAACTCTACCTTTTAATATTTCTTCCTGTTATATAAACATACTTTTATCATGTTCATCTCACACTTGCCACTTTTTATTGGTCCAAAGAGACAGCAACCACAATGAGTGTTAGGATTTCATTCTTATTTGTTTTTTCAATTATTTTTTAGCAGCTGTGTGGTTTTGATAAGGTGAAGGATTGCCTGCAATAATATAAAAAATGAAGCTGCAGATACCTCCCCCTTAGAATCAAAAGAAGCATCAAGGAGCCTTATCTTTTGTTGTTGTTGTTCTTCTTGAGTTTCTCTCCTTTCTATTGTTGAGTAAGCATTACTTGAATACAAAGGTCATTTTCCTTTCAATATTTCCATTTTACAGTTTAATTTCTGTTTAAATTAACCAGCAAAATTGCAGAATGTGCTTATTTTGCAAGGTAGGAATGGGTAATAACATGATCATTATTATCATAAAAAGCAGTGATTGAGCAATTTATTTTGCAGAATGCAGACACATTAAACAAACATGGCTTTTGACACTATAGTTCTACAGCAATTTATTTCTAATGTTAAATGTGTTCTATTGATAACTAAGTGCCAAAAATCCAGGAGGCTATAACCAGGCAATTTTCTTTTAAATTTGAAAGAGCTATATTTGGAACAAAGTTTCCACATTTACCCAAACATAAGGAATGAATTCTACTGAAATGAGCTACTGATGGGTAATGTAAGTCAATTACAAGGGACTCAATGAATCGATCGTTATTAATTGGCGTCATAAAGTGTTATTGTGTTAGACAAATTTTGTGTGGGGATTCCAAATCTTTGAATAACGGTTAAAGGGGGGCAATTATGTTCTGGGACTATTGTAAGTGAAGACAACTACCCATGAATAGTTGTTGTTTTTTTTTTTTCTGTCTGAAACTTTAAATATTTAAAAAGAAGGGTTCTAAAAAATATTGCATTTAGATTTCAATAGTGAATATTTGCCTTTAATATTTTGTGCTGAATAAAGCAAGTTAGACTAATATTTGACAAATCAAATCTTTGTTGAAGTTGCAATCTGTACATTTTTATTGATTTTCATAGAATTTTTATCAGCTATAGCTTTTTGCTGCAGTAATCATTCCTCTAGTTAATAATACAAGGCTTGGGCGAGTAGACTTGGTTTACTCTGTGACTGTTCATTTATTTTCCATTCAAGCAATTTTCTTCAACTGTCACTCTGACGTCTAAATTTGGTAGTTTATTGTAAAAGGTAACATTGTAGTCCAGTAGCTTCACTTCCCATTACACAGGACCTCTAAAGGAACAGAACAAATGGAGTGATGATATTCTTGGTGTTTAAAGTATATCTTTTTATGTTGCTCAGTCTTTTCTGCAGAAACCATGGTCAATACCTTGTCATTCAAAACATATGAAGTTTTCTAAGCTATCTGACATCAATTTTGTGACACATGTCACACTTCTAATGTAAATTAAGTATACAGCAAAATTCTGTTGCACAGAAGCTGTTTTTAAATTTTGACTTGGTTCACTTTGACAGCCTACACATTGTAGGCTTTGGGACTCTATTTAGGCAACATCAACTACTAACTAAATTTTTGTGGGTTTTCTTTTTCAAGGAATTGAAAGGCATTTTGGACTATAATTTGTTAACATTTAGATTGTGGACTTTAACAGTCAGCCTATGCTCATTTTAGAGATTAAAAACTGGAGGCAATATCGTCAGAAAGTTTGAGATAAATTTTATACTGAAAGGTGATGTCTACTTTTAAAAATTTTAGTTTCTTTTTCTTCCTTTTATTTCTTTTTTAGTCTCCCCAATATTCTCTTTTTTTATTATTATACTTGAAGTTTTGGGATATATGTGCAGAACGTGCAGGTTTATTACTTAGGTATATATATGCCCTGGTGGTTTACTGCACCCATCAACCTGTCATCTAGGTTTTAAGCCCCACATGCGTTAGGTATTTCTCTTAATGCTCTCCATCCCCTTGCTGCCCAGTCCCTGACTGCCCCTGGTGTGTGATGTTCCCCTCCCTGTGTCCGTGTATTCTCATCATTCAACTCCCACTTATGAGTGAGAATATGCAGTGTTTGGTTTCTATTCCTGTTTTAGTTTGCTGAGAATGATGGTTTCCAAATGTCCCTGTAAAGGACATGAACTCATTCTTTTTTATGGCTGCATGATATTCTATGTTCTTTATTTTCTTTATCCAATCTATTATTGATGGGAATTTGGGTTAGTTTCAAGTCTTTGCTATTGTAAATAGTGTTTCAATAAACAGCACTATTTATAGTAGAATGATTTATAATCCTATGCGTATGCACCCAGTAATGGGATTGTTGGGTCAAATGGTATTTCTGGTTCTAGATCCTTGAGGAATTGCCACACTGTCTTCCACAATGGTTGAACTAATTTAAAAAGAATTCTTATTTCTCTGCATCCTCTCTAGCATCAATTTTTTCCTGGCTTTTTTAATGATCGTTATTCTAACTGGCATGAGATGGTATCTCATTGTGGTTTTGATTTGCATTTCTCTAATGACCGGTGATGATGAGCTTTTTTTCATATATTTGTTGGCCACATAAATAATCTATTTTATATGGTAATACCAAATAGCGTTAACATGGACTTTAAGTTCTGCATATAAATATTAAGGCTATCCTTTCCTATTTTTTTTGTAAAATGTATTAAAACTTTCCGATCTCAGGTTTTCAATTCTATTATTATATTAAATATAGCAACCTCCTTCAATTTGTACCAAATTTAAATTTAATAAAGGACTGTAAAAATGAGATTTGCACATTGAAGTTAAAAATTTCTGATAGCACTCAGAAACACAAACCATCCAGATCTTTCATCTACTCACATTTTGGGGAGAGATCATGCTGGAATATTTTACATAAATTTTTGATTGAAACATAGAGAAATAAGGAGCTGGGTGTGGTGGCTCACGCCTATAATCCTAGCACTTTGCAAGACCAAGGCGGGCAGATCATGAGGTCAGGAGTTCAAGACCAGCCTGACCAACATGGTGAAACCCTGTCTCTACTAAAAGTACAAAAATTACCTGGGCATGGTGGCGTGCACCTGTATTCCCAGATCCTTGGAGGCTGAGGCAGAAGAATTGCTTGAACCCAGGAGGCAGAGATTGCAGGGAGCAGAGACTGTGCCACTGTACTCCAGCCTGGGTGACAGAGCAAGACTCAATCTACAAAAAAAAAAAAAAAAAAAAAAAAAAAAAGACATAGAGAAATAAGGCAGAAAATGGAAACCGTTTAAAATAACTCGTTTGAGAACTAACTTTAATGAAGTCTTGGCCTAATTAAACTGGCTCCTTAGGTTTCAGTTTATTTGTATAATAAAGTCCTACAAATGTAATTTTTTTTGGAGGGGGAATGTTGTACAGTTTACATTTTGATAGATTGACAAATTTTCCCCCAATGTATTTGAATCCAAACTTTCCCTCCTTTGTAGTGTTGACAGCTGCCCAGCACTATCTGTCAACCTTTTTCATACTTGTCAATGGTATCTTAATGTTGTTTTCATTGGTCTTTCTTTAATAGGTGGTTGGACAAGTTTTTGTATGTTTAGAGCCACTTATTTAAAAATGTTTATATGTTATTTAAGATGTTTCTTTGATTTGTTAAGTTCATGAACATCCTATGCAGACTGCCCCAGTGTTTAATTGAATTGTGGGTTTTATCTTTTTGGTTGAAAAAATTCTTTATGAGTTAGAGAAATTCAGGTTTTTTTTTCATTAAAGTTTTATTTTTTCATTTCTCTTTTAATAAGTAGCATGCATTTTTAGAATGTGTGTGTGTAGCAATACGTGTGTTTGTGTAGTTTTATTCTAAATCTGGAAAATTTTAAGACTCTTCCTTTTATTTCTTATAATTTAAATATTTTAGTTCTCTTTTGGGGAGAGTCTCATGTTATGCTGGATCTATTGAGCCTCTATTTTGAAAGAAGAAGAATTAACTGTTAAAATGGATTTTATTTATCCCATAGTTTTATTTACTCTTCTATTTTTTCCTGCTTTTAGTCTACTTTTACTTCCTTCATCTCTTCTTTAGGCTCTTTTTTCAGAGAATCTGTGTTTTCTTTTGATTTCATTGAAACTCGAATCTCCATATTTTCTAGCTAATTCGTGGAAAAATTTTTGGTATTTATTTTTGATTTGCCACTTTTTTATCCTGTTGATTTACTACCTTTTTCTGCCTCTAATTATTCAATGGGAGCTGTTTTTTTCAATATCACGTTTTACTGAATATTGATATGGTGTTGGTAAACTAAAGAAGCAGTCAGCTACATTTCTCCTACTGTGTCTTTCTCCACCGTTACCAAAACGCCTATTCCTGTGGCTGTAATTCGCTTGCAGATGGCAGGTCTACAGTGAACTGATGTCATAGGTCTTACCTGTAGTGATAGAATGTCCTTCTTTTTAGCTGACCAAAATGAAGAGTTACAGAGCTTCTTGTTTTCTACCTTTTCTCCACCACATTGCTAAATCCATCATCTGTTTTCATGCAAAATAGCCTGTGTGTTCCCTGAGTCAGATCTGCTCCTCCAGGTCAGTGACTCTCTTGCAATTTGTCCTCACACCTAGTGACCCAATTCCAAGCACTCTGGGTTCTGTATATAAATATTAAGCCTATCCTTGGGATTGTGTGACTCATCTTGAAGGAACTCAGACTACATGCATAGTCCATTACCTCCACGGTGGCTTCTGACCTAGTACTTTGTCCTTGACCTAGGTCCAATTTTCAGTATAGTCCATAGGAAATACTTCTTCATACGTTGGTTGTTTCTTAGTTTTATTTGACTTTTTTTCTCTTGTCTTTTTTAAACATTTTGATTACAAAGGAAAGGCAGAGTACAATTATTGTACTATTATTCACCGAAATAGCCAAGTTTAATATTTTTAGCAATGCCAAATGGTCATTTATATAATCTAATAAATTAATTTTAAATAAGTGCAATATTTATGAATAGGTTTTTCAGTAGTTAAAATTTTTCTGTGTGTCAATAAATGTACTTTGAGTTTTGTTTTTGCAAGACAGTGACCTATAAATCCTTGTTAAAATATGTCACTTGCTCTCATTGGGTTTCAACTTATCCTGATATGCTTTAACACCTTAATGGTTTAGACAGAAAGCACTATTTTCAGTAAGACTGAAGAAAATAAGATAGACTTTTATAATATGGAAATAGCCACTCTTAAAATAGCTTTTAGTTACACTGCACCAATTTAAAAAATGACCATTTTGAGTGATCATTTGGATGTTGAGAGTGAAAGAAAGGAATGTGACAATTATCACCAGTTTTCCCTCTACTAAATCTCACTTATAATCCTCTGTAGACAGAAAATAAGATTTTTCTCATAAAGTACAACATTGTGTCCTCTTTAAATTTAAATCATGATACTTTCCATTATTGGTAGCTAAGTACAATTATCAGACTTCACAAGAGTTTTAAACGGTGATTTCATTCAGGTGGTCTAAGAGCTAATGCAAAATACTGCATTTTTGTGTTTTGTATCAATATTGTCCAGTAGTTTACACACTGCTTTATTTATAAGCAACACTTTTTAGTATTCTGAATTGTTTTCATGTATCTTATTTTAAGTATGCAATTATATATATATATACACACACATAAATGGTCTGACCATTTGAAAGACAATGATTCAAAAATCTCTCTCTATATATGACTGGGAATGGTTGCTTACACCTGTAATCCCAGAACTCTGGAAAGCCAAGGCAGGCCGACCACTTGCGGTTGGGAGTTTTCGATAAGCTTGGCCAACATGGTGAAACCCTGTCTCTACTAAAAATACAAAAATTATCCAGGCATGGTATAGTGGCAGCTACTCAGGAGGCTGAGGCAGGAGAATTGTTTGAACCCAGGAGGTGAAGGTTGCAGTAAGCTGAGATCACACCACTCTACTCCAGCCTGGGCAACAAAGCGAGACTCTGTTTCAAAAAAAACAAAACAAAACATTTTTAAAAACCTATATCTATATTTATATTTATATATGTAAATATATAATTTGCTTGTGTGTTATGCTTTTATGGTGTCAATAAACTATGTATAATGGGAAACATCTGTTTTAGAATTCAAAATTGTGATTGGTCTGAAATATATTGAGCTGAGCTGAAATATATTGACCTTTTGCTTTTGCTGGACAAAAGATAAGTAAACAATTTTTAATTATTAAAGGTCTCCAATCTTAGATCCTTTTGCATAGCTTAGAGAACTCCAAATACAAATAGTAATACTAATTAAGGTAAGCACATTCTCACAACACTCAATATTTTCTAGAAGTACTTCATATTTCTCAGTGTAGCTAGTGGATCTATAATTATTAAAGTTTCATATGTTTACAAAATAGTCTGCAATTCACAATTTACTTTCCCCACACACATGCTACAACTAATGGTAGGTTGAACTTTAGTTATACAAAGCAAAGAGGCTCATGATGACCATCAACCATTTTATTTAATCCCTAATCTTTTTATCACCACACCCACTCAATATATATAATGCATCTGGAATTCTCCAACGTGGTTCTCAAAGTACATGTATTTCAAAGTACAAATGAAAATTACTTTCAAAAATACAAATTTCCTTTGACAGATAATGGGGGAAGTTTTGTGAGACTTTAGTCAGAAGCAGAGGGGATTGCTTTTTGTTAAGTCCAAAGAATGGAATTTCAAGTCTGAGTTTATAAATTCTTTATAGATGGAAATAGAAAGAAAAACTAGAGTAAAATTAAAGGAACAAGTCTTTTCCCAGATTGGACCTTCCCCCTCTTTAAGGCTCAATGTTAAACTCTGTGTTAGCAGAACCTCTGTTTTCCACATCCTAAAAGTTGTTTTTTGTAACACATTAATTGATATTTACATTTTCACAATTGGGCTAATTTATATATCATTAGAAAACTTTACTAGTTTGCAAAATGGCAGGTCTTTGGCAGGCATAGGAATGTCTTTCTTTTTGAAAATATATACTTCCTGGACTTCTAGCTATAAAATTAATATATGTTTATATATTCATGACAACGTAGGAGATATGTTGATATGTTTAAAAAGTCACATTAAAATCGCCAAGAATTCCATTGGCCAGACATAATCTGTTATTATTTTGGTTCATACTGTGTAAGTATTTTGAAAAGGAATATATGTGAATACATAGACATAATCGTATACTTAAATACAAAGTTGGGAGATACAGTACATACTATCTTTTATCTACTTTTATATTTAATTTAAGTGGAAATACAAATGCAAAATAGAATTATTTTGCTGCATATCTGACAGAAATAATATAGAAAAGGGAAAAGAGTATACAGTATTCCACACCTGCGAAGACTCTAGAAATAACACCAAGCTGCCTTCCCAGCTGGAGTGCCAGGGGACCATGTGACCCACATCTGGCACTTCTTTGTTCATTGAAATAATTGTCTACCATATGCTGAGCCCACAACAAATGTTACTTCCTTTCCTTTTTGCACAACATTAGCTGTGATCTTAGGCAAGGCACTTTCCCTCTCTGTTTCCCCAGGTAAAAAATGAGGGTTCTGTACTAGATGGTCTTTACTAGATTTTCCATATCTAGAATGTCACAATTACCAAATTAAGCAACTTTTATCAGATAATCAGGAACCATAAGAGCTTGCATAGTCAGCTTGGCATTACTTACCTGTCCAGGCATCAGTTTTTAAAATACAGGCAGGAAGCATCATTCCATTAATGTAGATATGCAACCGCATTTGCAACTAGGAGGCACAAAGAAGGCATTGGTTATGCACCTATGCTTTGTCAAGTAATTTGCTAGAAGCTATGTGGCCTAGATAAAGAATCTGGATGACATAGTTTCTATCTGCAAGAAGCTCTGGAGATTAATTGGGAGGTAAGACAAAGATAACACGAACCAACTGAAAGGCAAAGATCTCACAGACAGTATTTCATTTGAAGAACTAAAGTTGTCCTACAGACATTGTCTGGGTGATGTGTGCTATGGGGATTCAGAAAAGGAAGAAATCGCCCCCTGGGATACTTGGAACCTAGGCTAATGAACCTTAAATGAAGGGATTGATTCCCTGAGTCTGTGAGCTCAATTATACTCTATAGCCATGAGCTATACCCTGACTCCCCAGCTACTTTGTAAAGTGTCCTGTTAATGATAAAAATAGATACAGAAGGACAAATCCTTCCTACTGGTTAATTCAGAATGTGCTCTCGAGGTCACTGTGAGATGGAGTACTAAACCTAAGGAGGATAATAAGAAAGCATATATTTATGTAGTTAAGGAACTAATGAATTATGTGTTTATGAAAATTAGAGATCAAAGCAGTTTTCAGTCATAATTACCCTTTCCTCTCTTTCTTAACTCCTCTTTCAAATTCCAGCTCAGGTTTAAATTCACAGATTTTTTTTTTTTTTTTTTTTTTTGAGACAGAGTTTCACTGTCACCCAGGCTGAAGTGAAATGGCGCGATCTCTGCTCACTGCCACCTCTGCCTCCAGGGTTCAAGCGATTCTCGTGCCTCAGCCTCCTGAGTAACTGATTTTACAGATGCACATTATCACACCTAGCTGATTTTTTTATTTCTTGTATTTTAGTAGAGACGAGGTTTCACTATGTTGCCCAGGCTTGTCTCGAACTCCTGAGCTCAGGCAATCCACCTGCCTTGGCCTCCCAAAGTACTAGGATTACAGGCATGAGCCACTGTGCCCTCCCTAAATTCACAGAATTTTTTTTTTTAATCACTTTCATCTCTGGATCTCTGTCTTCTTAGAATTCAAATAAGTTAATGTCTATTAAATGAAGTGACCAATGTGAAACATGTTTTGAAAATCAGAAAGTGCTTTTAAAATAGGAGCATTAATTATGCAGCAGTTACTCCTAATTTGGCTTACTCACAATAGGGGTTTTAAATAGCCAGTGTGTAACCTTTTCATTCCTTATAATACCTCATATGCTATAGGCCTTAGATAAAGTTTTCTTGGAGAGTTGTTATAAATCAAATGTCAGATTGTGATTGTAACAATGTTGCAGTAATTCGAATAAGAAAAAAAGCCTAATATTTGCCCCCAAAAGAACACAGGCAGCTTCATCCTTCTGAAAAAGCTAAAAAGTTGGTAGCCTTATTCCTTTTTATTTTCAACTTTGGGGCCCTTTAGGATGTTTATGGCTCAATTTTCAATTGTGGCATTATTCAAATGAATACTTCTTTCCTACTTTGAAGAAATATAGGTACCATAAACCTTCTTCTTCTGAGCTTTATATTTTGTTTATCAAGGACATGTACTAATACATTTAACATAGTAAACATAGTATTTCTGGGAAAAAAATATGACTACACTACTCTCTTCAAAATGCAAAAACAGACCAGGAGATTCATTCGCCATTGGTCAAAGGCAGACACAAAGTCAGACAGGACTAACTTGTATTTATGTTTAAGCTGCTTTGCCTTGTACCTTTCTTATATGCTTTATTCATCTGCTTCCCCAGTTAAGCAAAAAAATAGCTGATTTTTATGTCTTTTCTGACAACGTCACAGAGCACATTAGCCTCTGAAAAACTTAATCACAGTAACCTGTACAAAGGATTGCTTTGGGAGTTCTTTTAAGAGGCATGATCATAAGGTGTAAACAAATCAAATAATTAATTGCCTAGGTAGCTATGCTGTCTGTACACAGAGATTAAGTTGAGTTTTAGTTTTATCCATTTTCTAGAATAAAGGAGAATAACTAATTTTCTTTACTTATTTATCTGAGTAATTTTGACATAGGTGAATGGAGTTATGCTTTCTTAAACACCACACATTCCATATTGCATCTCTAAACTAGAAACCATCTTTCTTTACAGTGGACTCATTAATGCCAGGGAGGATTCTTTTAGGCAGAGCAGTACTGAGGAAAGAAAAAAGGCTGGAAAATAGACAGGGTCAGAGTTCACCTTGGCCAGTGTTATTGAGAACTAACTTCCTGCTTTCTTCTTTCTGGCCACACACTCTTATAATACACATATAAATATATTCTATATGTAACAATATATACACATATAAATATATTCTATATGTAACAATATATAAAATTATATATTAACATAATTATTATAATAAAATATATGCATATAAATTATATATGTGATATATAAATGTATGGTTATAATATATAATATATATATTTAGTTACATTGAATTAGCACTGCCCATTTCATGATGGTTTTTGAAATAACTGGAGTCAGTGAGCTCAAAACTGTTACTCAAACCTTTATCTTTGTGTGATCATTTTCCTAGCTTTGACTTGTTCTTCTCTTGCATTTGAAGAAAGTAAGAATAGTCAGTCTTTAAGCCAAAGAAATTATTTCTAAATGTGGAATGCTGGCTTCCATAAACCCTGAGTGAAATATAGTTGTTTAAGTGTGAATGAGTGTGGTGAGGAGGACATATGCTGCGAAGGTGACCTTTTCTGGTCTTGTGTCCAAATATCACCTCTGTTTTTATAAGGTGAAAAGTTGAGACTTTCATGGAAATAGAATCTTGTTCTACGTTTTTATTAGGAAATTTTAATAGCGACTCAGTATTTGGATGACTACTGTGAGAATACTTTTTAAGAAATTTTCTAGCTAGTTTAACCATGGCAGTGGTCCCGTTTTTTAAGGATAAAGTAAATTGGTGCCTGAAGAATTGTACTATGTCTTGCTTTTGGTTCCTGTATTTTTCTTCTTTATTTATTGCTGTTGGAAGTAGTTTCACAAAAATGAATCAGAAACAGTCTTGGGCATTCTGTTCAGGAACTAGTAACTCATGTGGTAATATAATAACACTCTCTAGGCCTTTATAGTGTCATGATGTAATCACAGCAGTACTTTTGTTAGAGAGACTGACAGTGCATTCAGTCTCTCCTCTTTATAGTAAGCCCTTAGACTAGTCTCTTCTGATGATGCACCTATAATATATGTAGAGAGAGCTTTAATCTCACATCGAAAATAGCTGCCCTTTTCTGATTCTCTAGACTTGCTAGGGTTAATGAACAGGACGTTGCTTGTTTCTGGGAATTCGAGATCAGGTTAGAGAACAATTTTTTTTTTCCCCAGTGGTTGTTGTCTTTGCCCAAGTCTTTTTTACCAGTAAGCAAATATATCCCCACCACCAGGGAACCTAGAATTGGCGCGTTGGCCTATCTCCATGACAAGTTCCCCAAAAATGGAGAAGTTTCTATACTTCTCCGTATGATAATATTAAACTTCCATGTCAAATGTTTTTGGAAAAAAAAGAATTTTCTTTTCAGGCATTTTTTGGATAGCATTATTCTGGAAATATTAAAGGTTTTCTTTAAAACACCTTTTCTACATCTAATCAATGCTCTGGTTGCTATATCCATCAATTCTTTTAAACTCCTGTTTTGTTATTGTTGTCTTCTTGAGAAAATCTAGGACCCCTGACTAAATTTCGCGTGAGTTAGAAAAGTTTTGCTGGTCCTAGTGACATCATTATTACAGAGAAAGTAGATGTGTGGTCTTGATATGAGTCTCATTCATGGTCTTGTTTCCACTTCTTGTCTCCAAAAGACAGAGAAAGGTCTAGATCATACCTCTTTACTGAAATGTATCCACAATGTTCTTCCTGCCATGTGTACAGAGCACTAAAAAATCTGTTAAGAAAATTGAAATATAAGTGTGTTGTAACATTTTGGGGGTATTTCTTCATTTCATTGTACCACTTAGGGAAATCAGCCTTGTGCTGGAGAACATGACAGCCTACTTCTCATTAACCTCTTGCATTGATTTATTATACATATATTTGTATAATACATATATTTAACATATATATGAGATAAATATTTTGCTGTTTGCTGCCTCTTTCTGCAATGAGAATGTCTGATATTTCCTCCTAGTTTTTCTACACATCTGACTGTAATTTACCTTCTTTCAAAATGATTGCTTTGTCGTTTACCTGTACATGGATATTGCTTTGAAAATGCTTTCTGTTTTAGAAGGAATGAATGGCTAGTTTCCTTGGATATGAAATGTTAATGAATCTCCAGAGACCTAGTGACTGTTCTACAATGTTATCTATTCTGTTTCTATGTGTGCATGTGTGCATTCAATTGTGACTGATTTTCTTTCTTTTTTTTTATCCAGTAGAGAGCTGTTTCATTGTTTTTCTTTAAGAAAAATATATAAATACACATCTTATTGAAAAATCAGTTTAAATGTATATCTTACTGCCATACTATCCTTAATTGACAAGTCTTATTTTGCACAGTCCTATTGCATAAGGTAGTAATCATTTTCCATACAAGCCATTTCCATATGTTAGAAGAAATATAGCAGGTTGAAAGCTTCACTCAATAGACTAGGTTCATTAAATCTTAAGGACCCTTATGATACTTAACTTGAAAGAGATGAAAGGCGTAACAGGCCATTGATTTCACACAATGTCACTTGCTAAATGATCTCCAAACCAAGAGAGCAACCTCTAGACCAGTTCTGGTCTGGGCTGGTCCCAAGCCAAATAGCCAGTCAACAGAGTGATACAAAGTTATGTTGACTGCTGTGAATGTAGCTGGCACCCGGCGTTATTGAGCTAGGTGTTAAGACGGGAGGCACAGATGGCTTGGAGTCCACCAGAAGGATGCATACTCTGATTTCTTGGTCCAGTGTTATCATTCTAAATGTTTTGATTCTTCTCTTTATTTCTTTTCCTTTACCCTCAGCAACCAAATCACTTAAAAATTCCCTCATCTGTTTTAAGTTCCTATGTTGT